CTTTCCAAAGAAAATTAATCCTAAGTGTGCTTGCCAATGAAATGAGCAAGAAAATTTATTCTGTCTAACTGTTGCAGCAATCATGAGGGCCTGCTGTGAATCTAGATCGACGATCGACCGGTAACCACGACATGGCATTGTCCATGTAGCCATTAATTTGTTACCTTGTAATGATGAACGTATTCCAGGATACTAATTTAGGAATAGTTTGTACTTTAAAGCTTTTCAGTCATGGACCATCGATACCAAAGTTCAAATTGAGGTTTTAGTTGCGACTTAATCTGTACGTTTATGCAGGTTAATGTGCAAGGCTTCGCAAGACAGTCCTACGATTGTTTCTGCAATCTTACCATGTTGTGGACGTATATGATACTATACCTTAGTTTCTGATAATAATTTGCAAGGCCAGTGATAGCTCGCATCATTGACGAGTAAATTGATTTTGTACAGTTTAAGATACTGCAGCCCGCTGTTGCTTTGTGATCTTCAGTAAAACCAGATGTATGTCATCGACAGTCTTATGGTGCTTCATATGTGGCCAAAGTTAGTGCATAAACTGAAACTATAACTAAAGACGAAATCAAAATATGCTATTGTCTCATTCTGCGCAGATGAAAACGGGACCATTTGCGGAGCATTCTAATCAATTGTGGAACATCAGCAGCGTTTCGACTTGGGACAAGGTTAACAGCGGTCTTATGAAAATGTACAAGGCAGAGGTTTGTTATGAACTTTGTGTGATTCTGGGTGCTACTTTGTTCATTTTCAGGTTCTTGGAAAGTTTCCTGTCGTGCAGCACTTTCTGTTTGGAAATTTGCTTACTATTAAACCGCATCCTGCGGTAGAGAGCGAGTCGGACAGTTGAACTTAATGAGGCGAAGTAGCTTTACTCGTGGATATGTTTATGAATTCACTTCCTTTATTCGTTTACTACATTATCTGATACATAGTGTGATTTACTGATGAATTTAATTTCGATCTCTTTTATTGACTTGTTTCATGTAGAAAAAGTTTCATGCGTGATGGTTAAGATGTTTCGAATGTGATGTTAAGGTTTACACACGAATCAGTTGGAATTTCTGCATTAAAAATAAAAGCCATTAATCAGCGTATTTATTCATTTACTTGCTGTCAGTTTTCATAAATATTACATGTGTGTATTTTGTATATAATGTTGAAGCGGTGTCTTAGGCGCGTAGAGCAGTAAAGCTTGCGTACCACACTACTACATGGCCGTAGACTTTGTGAACTTCGTTTCTGTAAAAAGTTTCAAACAGTGCTATCTGTGGCTGGATAATGTATGAGACATTTGTATTCTATTCACAGTAGAGGTGTCTACTGTAGATGCAGGAATTAAGAAACAAAGGTTGACTCAGATAAACAAACTGGTTGAACATAAACCATTTTTTCTAGCCCGTAAATTTCCTGTGTGGGAGTCGTAACACGGCAAACATCGTCCATGAAGCCAACATGCAGCATGGAACAAGACGGGGCAGATCTGCCTTCAGATTGGAGCTATTACTTCTGCGACGCAGTAACCAGTGTCTGATAGCAAACGTTTTGTAATGCTGTGTGTAGAGCTCAAGGTCATGATCACAAAAAAGAAACTGTGTAGTAGGTATTGAAGACTTGCTGTCTGTGTTTCCATCGATTGGACCCGAACAAGGTGGTGCAAATTACTTGCTCAGTTGAATATCCATTTAAAAGGTATACAAGACCGATGATATATCGTTTTGTTACTGATCCGTCAATCGTGGTTCAAGAATCCGTCATCGTTGAGGATAGTGCTTTCTTAGCAATGTCGAATAGCATACGAACCCTTTGTTCATCTTCGTGGCGTATTTGTTGTTTTCAGATTGCGTAAACAGATTGTCTAGGGGCGATTTCTTTGGGTTTTAGTGTTTGACAGATCGAGCATGCTCTATGGATTATGTTCCGATGCGCGACTGCAAAATATTCATTATCGTCCAGTCAACTGACATTAAGTCTACCTTTGGGCGCTTACAGTGTTCGTTTTCCAACTCCAACTTTGGTGTTCGTGTTGACCATAGAGGACAAGTCAAGGACGGCGTCATTTTGCCACCCTTTGCCTGTAATGCAGTTCCACGCCGCAATTTATTAAACTGATTAGTGCTTCTGTACACATCAGTGACATCAAAAACGGAGCTGCAACACGTCCAGGTGTGGTTGCCATGCATGACAAACAGTTTAGAAGTAGCCTCTCCAAAAATTTTGCTACTGAGGGAGCCGCCGCCATTGTTTGAGGACAATGCAGTCGCAGTCAATGGTGCTTTGATGGTACGGCACGCTAAGCACTGGTTGCTAGTTGAAAATATCGGATAAAACTTATGGCTACACGGTGAGTCAGTAGAATCCATTCTCCACGTCTTACTGCTGTCACAATCACACGACATCTCGATTGAGTGAGAAGACATGCCACAAGTGAATGTATCGAAATGCAACGTTCTGAAGCTTTTTGATCCTCGTCATATCAAAGACCCTTTGATCGAACCTCATTTCCGTCGCTTTTATGTGTGATATCAGTATCCAACGCTCATGGTTATAGGCAAGAAAAGGCGTATAGTATGACTTTAAAACAAAGTATTTGGACGTCTGCATTACAGTGCTCGCCTTGCGGATTCATGTTTGTTTCTACTCTCTACCTATCGTTGATCGTGAAAATTTCTTCATATGCTCCAGTTGTCCTGCAGCATTGTAGAGCACATTGATGTACTTTTCTCGAAAGTATCGAAACCGCTGATTGTTTGATTGGCTTCAGTCCAGGCTTCATCGGATGCTGCACCGAGCCCCTTAAATGCACGCTAGAAATCAAATCATCCGGTCGAACGTAGTAAGCAGTGCTGCTGTCTGCGCTTAGACTAAATCTACATATGTAGTCCGTGAAAGTTATGAAAACGGGATGAGTCAGTACACTTATTTTGATGAGGTTCATCATGCGGGCGGGCACCGATTTGTTGTTGCCCATAACCTGGACATACCTCTCAACAGTTCATACGGATTCGATGGGCTAACCGATGGAGTAACCGACCTTCAACATTTTTTTCTTGGAAGATGAGTGAGATTTAAAAATGTGCTGCTCATCTCTGGACGGTATTCTGAGAATTATAATATCATGTCCAGTCTTTTCGCAGCTCAGGAAGTATTTGATCTTCGTTCGCGTAAACGGCAATTAGCCAGTCAGGATATTTTGTTCGTCAATTAATAGTTGAAGTTCGCTTTATCATCGAAGGATTCTTGTTCTTTTTGCCTGCACTGTCAGTACTGCAATTTTCTAGGCTTGCAAATACTGGATATGCAAAGAAAATGAAGAACTGCTTCCAATCTGAGCTAAATAAGCCATTTTTGGCCTCATGATGTCGCGAACGTTTGGTTTCCATCAGTAGTTTTATGGTTACCACCAGTCATAGTATCTTCTTTATCCCAGGATAGGATGAGGTCGAGGCATTTACAGCTGTTCAACGAAACGTAGACTCACTACCACTGTGAAATGATGCATAATTGGATATTCGGTTACTTCTTGCTGACACGCCGTCCAGGAACATTTTTTCGAAATTCTTCCCAGATTTCTCACGTTATCCTTCAGCCGAAGCTTTCGCTCTGACTGCCATTTTTTCTTAGCCGATTATAAGATTTGCAGACATCTGTTGCCCTCGTTTTATTTGAGTATTTAACACCATTTAGATAAGCAGGATGAAATCGTGACTAAATTTAATCAGTTTCATAAACTTCTAGGCGGGGTACCTTTATGGTCATTATGGTTCTAGAAGAAAGTGTTCATCATGGACAGGTCATTTGCATAGCATAAATCCAGATTTAGCACTGTTTAAATTTGTGATGGGTTACCCTTCTTGCGTAGATCCAACGTTGATATGAAGAGAGAGGTTCATTCGTTTAAACAGAGGTTCGCTATCAGCAAGCAGTAGTATTTCCGTAAAATATGATACATAATGTAAAGACAGAACTTCATTTCCTGGTACATTGCGACTGCAAACTGTAAAGTATTGCGTTTTTGCGTCGAATTCCTATTCTGCGGAAATTTGTTCTCATTTCGGTGTTAAAGGCTGATTGGGAGAAAGGGTTCATTTACTTCATGGAAGATTCGTAATCTGACATGATATGTATGCATGTGCACCATAACCGACGTTTAATGGCCGCGTCTTAGTTTCAGCAAACAAATTTTTTCTCGAGGGGACACAATCAGCTAGTCTGATGCATGCATGATGAGCAGAGTCATGGTCTCAGTTTGCTACAAAATTGCACACTTTTTCAGAGTAGACGCACTTTGACCTATTTTTAAGGCTAAAGATCTTGCAAACGTGGCATACTATTTATGTTCCGTAAAGGTAGCGGCTTTCTCAACCGATCTTTGTCTTTTCCACTCTAAGAGCACTACGCATTCCAGTTTCCAAGAATAACGCTGTACTGCCATTGCTAGTTCCAATGTATGACTTCTGATTTCTTTTTCGAGTTTGATCGGCCCCAAGTTTGTACTTCTGGTCATTTGAGATTTAAGAATTCATACAGATGATATCTGGTGTGGATAAGGCACGCTCTTTGTCATGTAGGTCACTAAGTTCAGGAAAAGTACAGCTAAAATGTGTCAGGTCTAGATTGGAATTGGTGTATTCTGTAATAGCCGAAATTCTGATTTGTCAAATTGCGGTCCAATTTTACAACTTTTCCCGTCATTAGTACCAATTATTCTGAAATTCCCCTCTAATGAGCTTCAGATGTAGTTTCATATTGCTTTTATTCTTAGCGAATCTTAAGAGGGTTTGAAAACTTGCATTTCTCTGTGTAAGGAAAATTGAGACAGCTGTTTTCTACAAGTAAGGTATAAGAGAGTAGGGGAAACTGTGTGCCATCTGGATGGTCAAGATTAGCTTGTCGTAGATAAAGCACGGTTCGGCTGACGATCCAATGAATTGCGTTGAATGCGTATCTCAATGTTGCAATGAGCGACCCTAACGAAATTTCGATGACAGTGATTCCATAAAAGAGCTCTCTCCACTCTGCATGATGAATTTAATCAAATACCTGATTTTAAGCTTTGAAATGCAAAGTGGTTCATACATATCCAGCAAAACCTGGTCAATTCGAAATTTAAGAGAGCGAAAAGATTTGAATTATGAAAAATCTTGTTAATTGAATATTTACAACATTCGCAATAATAAATAAATATGAACATGTATTACGCGTTTGCTAGCAAAATGGATAGTTTTCAATATCGTCGGTCAGAAAATATTTTCTTAAATATGCATTTTTTAAAGTAGTTTAACATTTTTTGTTACTTGCGGATTTACACGCGCAGTCGCACTGCCCCCTTGCTTCTAGTGGCCTAAGTGGCCAGAAGGCAAACTACAGCTCCATAGTATTTTAGCGCCTGTGATCGTCATAATCATCAAAGTATTTACAGTGCATATAAATTTATTAAAATGAGTACCGATGCTTTGGAATAAACTGGATTCATTTTAACGATTCATAATACAAGCACAGTTGGTAGAAATTACAATAGATAAGGTTGTCACTTCCGCTATGTACTGACAAATGACTCTTTCAATACTGCATTTCAAGGGACATTGTACCTTTCCCTTATACTTAATTGTCTAGGAGACATTTAAGCGGACCACGGCTCCATGGTACTTGAGCACTTCACTGCCAGATGTTTATCGCAACATTTTGTTCCCCAAAACCACCTCTCGATCATCACGAACGATGTATCAAGTGCTGGTACTCTTTATATGCCATCGCAAAAACATCGCAAGTTCGTACGCCCAAGCTGGCAAGTTAAAGTGTAATTCAGTATTGCTTATATTCGTTAACTTCTTCACTGTATTTCTCGAGACTGAAGGCAAGTCGTCCTGTCGTTTCTGTTAAAACATTCGTATGCCTGTATTAATAGTGCTCCTTTATGCTTTTTGCTTCCCGCAGTCTTCTACCGCCCACCGAAAATCCACAAGCAGGACATTCCGATCATGAGACCACATGTATCTTGTCGAAATAACATTCAGTCGTTCGTTTCAGACCCGATTCTACCAATGTTATTATCACAGACGAAATGAAATTTGAAATCGCCCATTTAAAACTCAGGCGCTTCGCCAAGGAAATCCGCGAACCTAAGTAACTAAAAGCACCGTAATGGTAAACTATGATATCAAAAGTCTTAACTAACATTTCTCTCAATTGGTCGTTTGAAATCGTGGGACGCTTTTTGCAGACAAATGGCCTAAAACAGAAAATTGACTTTGAATGAAAAGTAGTATGGTAGACTATATCTACATTCGTTTTAATAGTGACCTACACAAACAAAAAAAGGAGCACTGTTGGGAGTCGCATTGTCATCACCCATTGCGGAGACTTTAATGGAGCAACTCGAGACTCGCGCATTTACAGCAGGAACTGAAGAGACGAAACCTGTCTTCCACAAAAGATGTGGACGACATATTCTCCGTTTGCTTTGAACCAAAGAACAGAAAATCCGTCTAAATTCTCTATTGCCAAAAGACATTTTGACGATGTAAATTGAACAAAATGAAGTGCTATCA